ATTATTTCTACAGGTCTCTATTATACGACAAATTTTCATAGAATTTTCAAAATAGGCTTACATACATGTTTCTCCCTAGTGAGACTTCTTTCATGTATTTAAAAATGTGTATGGACTGACATCTTTCCCATGTTACTTATACACATATGGTTTCTAACTTGTGAGATTGTCCATATACTTGACAATATATGAACAACAATCTGTGCTGTTTTTAAACACTGCTTACATACATAAAACAGCCAGTGAGCTTTCATGTATTTTATATTCACTGCACATGCTGAAAGCTTTCCACTGCTTAATTTCTCCAGTGAGTTTTCATATGATAATCATTATGTATGCTGAAAGCTTTCCCACCTTGCTTACATACCTAGGATTTAAACCCAATGTGTGCTTTGATGTATTGGACAATATCCACATGTGCTGAAATCTTTCCCATAGTGCTTCTAGTTTCTCCCCACTTTGTTTTTTCATGTATTTGACAATGTTTGCCCTAAAACTTTTCCCACATTGCTTGCACAGAATTTCTCTCTAGAGAGAATTATTTCACATATTTGACAACAGATGTGCTGTAGGGTTTTCCACATTGCTTACATACATAGGGTTTCTCCCCAGTGTGAGTTGTGTTTGACTCACTGTAGCTGTTGAAAGCTTTACCACATTACATACATAAGTTACTCCCCAGTGTGAAGTCTTTCATGTCTTTGAAAAGTACCATATGTGCTAAAGGCCTTCCCACATTGCTTACATACAAAGGGTTTCTCCCCATTGTGAGCTCTTTCATGTATTTGACATTCACCGTGCCTGCTGAAAGCTTTCCCACAGTGCTTACATACATAGGGTTTCTCCCCAGTGTGAAGTCTTTCATGTTTTTGAAAAGCACCATGTGTGCTAAAAGCTTTCCCACATTGCTTACATAAATAAGGTTTCTCCCCAGTGTGACGTCTTTCATGTATTTGACAATAACCACGTGTGCTGAAAGCTTTCCCACATTGGTTACACACATAAGGTTTCTCCCCAGTGTGAGTACTTTCATGTTCTTTACAACCACTCTGTGTCCTAAAAGCTTTCCCACATTGCTTACATATATAGGGCTTCTCCCCAGTGTGAATCCTTTCATGACTTCGATAACAACTGTTTCTCCTGAAGGCTTTCCCACATTGCTTACATACATAGGGTTTCTCCCCAGTGTGAAGTCTTTCATGTACTTGACAATAAGCACGTGTGGTGAAAGCTTTCCCACATTGCTTACATACATAGGGTTTCTCCCCAGTGTGAGTCCTTTCATGAGTTCGATAATTACTGCTTCTGCTGAAAGCTTTTCCACATTGCTTACATACATAGGGCTTCTCCCCAGTGTGAGTCCTTTCATGGCTTTGACAAGCACTAGGTGTGCTGAAAGCTTTCCCACAGTGCTTACATACATAGGGTTTCTCCCCAGTGTGAAGTTTCTTATGTCTTTGACAAGCATTATGTGTGCTGAAAGCTTTCCCACATTGCTTACATACATAGGGTTTCTCCCCAGTATGAAGTGTTTCATGTATTTGGCAATAACCACGTGTCCTGAAAGCTTTCCCACACTGCTTACACACATAGGGTTTCTCCCCAGTGTGAATTCTTTCATGGCTTTGACAAGCACTAGGTGTGCTGAAAGCTTTCCCACATTGCTTACACACACAGAGTTTTTCCCCAGTATGAAGTCTTTCATGCATTTGACAAGTAACACGCCTACTGAAAACTTTCCCACACTGCTTACACACATAGGGTTTTTCCCCAGTATGTGTCCTTTCATGACTTTGATAACGACTAATTCTGCTGAAAGCTCTCCCACATTGCTTACACACATAGGGTTTCTCCCCAGTGTGAACTCTTTCATGTATTTGACGTTCACTATGCCTGCTGAAAGCTTTCCCACATTGCTTACACAAATAGGGTTTCTCCCCAGTGTGAGTCCTCTCATGTATTTGACAAGCACTATATGTGCTGAAAGCTTTTCCACAGTGCTTACATACGTAAGGTTTCTCCCCAGTGTGAGTCCTTTCATGGCGTTGATAATGACTGTTTCGGCTGAAAGCTTTCCCACAGTACTTACATATATAGAGTTTCTCCCTCGTGTGAAGTCTCTTATGTATTTGATAAGCACTGTATGTGCTGAAAGCTTCCCCACAGTGCTTACATACATAGGGGTTTTCCCCAGTATGAAATCTTTCATGTATTTGATATTCATAGCGCCTGATGAAAGCCTTCCCACAATGAGTACATACATAGGGTTTCTCCCCAGTGTGAAGCCTTTCATGACTTCGATAATTACTGTTTCTGCTGAAAGCTTTCCCACATTGCTTACATACATAGGGTTTCTCACCAGTGTGAAGTCTTTCATGTATTTGACAATCACTATGTGTGCTGAAAGCTTTCCCACAGTACTTACATACAAAGGGTTTCTCCCCAGTGTGAAGTCTTTCATGTCTTTGACAAATAACACGTGTGGTGAAAGCTTTTCCACATTGCTTACACACATAGGGTCTCTCCCCACTATGAATCCTTTCATGACTTTTATAACAACTGTTTCTGCTGAAAGCTTTCCCACATTGCTTACACACATAGGGTTTCTCCCCAGTGTGAGTCCTTTCATGGTTTTGACAAATGCTGTGGGCGCTGAAAGCTTTCCCGCAGTGCTTACACACATAGGGTTTCTCCCCAGTGTGAGTCCTTTCATGTATTTGACAAGCCATATGTGTGCTGTAAGCTTTCCCACAGTGCTTACATACATAAGGTTTCTCCCCAGTGTGAACTCTTTTGTGTGTGTGACAAGCACTTTGTGTGCTGAAAGCTTTCCCACAGTTCTTACATACATAGGGTTTCTCCCCACTATGAAGTCTTTCGTGTCTGTGACAAGCTCTGTGTGTGCTGAAAGCTTTCCCACATTGCTTACATACATAGCGTTTCTCCCCAGTGTGAGTCCTTTCATGTATTTGACAAGCATTATGTTTGCTGAAAGCTTTCCCACAGTGCTTACATACATAGGGTTTCTCCCCAGTGTGAAGTCTCTTATGTCTTTGACAAGCACTATGTGTGCTAAAAGCTTGCCCACAATGCTTACGTACATATGGTTTTCCCCCAGTGTGAATTCTTTCATGGCTTTGACAATCATTATGTGTGCTGAATGCTTTCCCACACTGCTTACATGTATAGGGTTTCCCCCCATTATGATTTCTTTCATGGATCTGAACATCACTGTGTGTGCTGGAGGCTTTCAAGTTTTTCTTACATACAAAGCTCTTCTCTCTAACTTGTGTTCTTTCACTAAGGTCAGAGGAGGATTTCCGACACTGATCACATTCACAGGGTTTCTCTCCATCCTTTGACCTTGCATGCTTCCAAAGGGACTGTAAATCACTGGAGTTTCTTGTATGTTGATTGCATTTATATACCTTCTCTTCAGATCCCAAGTGTTTATATGGCTTCAGTGCAGTGCGAGCAATGACAGGCACAGTTAGTGACAAAGGCCCAGTCAGAGCCTTCCTACAAGCAAGGCTTTCAGCTGGTGTTAAAACAGCTTGTTTCACATCCACATTAGAATCTGGAGTCCAAAGGAATACTTCTTCATGTTGACCCAAAGCTGTACATTGACAGTATTTCATTACCTCTTTATTTCTGTAAAGAAAAAAGTCACAATGAAATGGGTCTCCATATTATTGATTTACCAGAACTAGTTCTGTTCTGATGCCTGCTAATAAATTTTGGCAAGGAATTAACTGAATGCCTTAGCGGATACCTTCAAAACAGCCATTCCCAAAAGGGTGGTATTCATTTGGGAATTTTTAAGTTGGTACATTTTGCCATAGGGAATATTTAGCTTCATTTGGGTTATTGTTACATATCACGTTGATCATTTTCATACCTTTCCCCCATCCCTCTTCCCCTTCTCTCCTTACCATTTGTCTTTCCCAACTCCAAAAAGCCAGCTTTTCCTTTATATCACCTCTCCTTCATTTTACTGCTTAATTTATATTTTTTGGTTTTTTCACATAAGAGAAACCATGTGACAGTTCATATTTTATGTCTGAGCTGAGCTGTTTCACTTAACGTTACGTGATGAAGACCCACTTTTTTCTTTTGGCAAATGACATGATATTATTCATTTTGACTGATTATATAGCACATTTCTTTTTTTCTTTTCAGCACTGGGAATTAAACATAAGTATTAGCACAAAACCTCAAACCTTTTTATTTATTTTGAGAAATTCTCATTGATGATTAAGTTGCTCTGTTTGAGCTTCAACTCACCATCCTGCAGAATCTGCTTCCCAGAGTGCTGGGTTTACAAGAATGCAAATCATACTGAGCCTATCAACAACGTTCTCTATCCATGCATCCAGTGATGGACATGTAAGCTGATTCCAGGGCCTAGCTGTTATAAATTGAGCTGCTTTGAGAGTATGGGTATGCATATATCTATATAATATTAACCCTTCTGAAAATATATCCATTAGAAATAAGCCTCATTAAATAGAACTTCTATTTTTACTTTTTGAGACATTTGTGTACTGATTATCCTAGTGGCTGTACTTAACATTCCACCAACAATGTGGGGGGTGCCTTCTAAGGATTTTAAATCACAAATGGACTCAATTCTCTAGGGAATGGCTTGAAAATACCTATTACAACACTAGCATCTATTTCTACTTTGAATACTGCTTCCAGGTTAGAAAGTTTTAGATAATAAATGTCTTCTATTCACTTGTATATCAAAACAGATATCCTGAAGAGGGCTTCTGGTCAAAACTCAAAGTTCTGACAAAGTATATACACCTATATACAATACTTAAATGCAATGTCATGAATTTCATAATTCAATTGTCAGATTATACATACTTAAACTGTATACACATCTGGAGAATATTTGTGACATTAAATTTGAACTTGCCCTCACTTCCTTGATTGTCACATTTCTGCTCACACCCTAACTCTTGAGGAACATTCATTTTTCTTGTGGGTGCAAATTACCTTAGGTTTCTCCAGTAATTTTGGTATTCCTCTTCAACTTCCTGGTTATCCCTGGATTTTCCTGAATTGTAGTCATAGAAATATAAGGAGACACTATATTATTACATAAAAATTAATAGAGTCTAATTAGATTCATGGTATAATGTAACCAGGCTTGAGGTATTCTTCAAAATGTTTTCACATTATTTTTAATGAAACAGCACTGATGAGCAACACACAGTATTCTCTGGTTGTATAGATGAGAAAGAGATGTTATTCTTACCTATAGCAGCCAGGTTCCTAAAGTTTTCCCACATCACATCTCTATAGAGCTTCTTTTGGGATGGATCCAGCAAAGCCCACTCCTCCATGGTGAAGTTCACAGCCACATCCTCAAAGGTCACTGCCTCCTAAATGATCACACATATATTTCTGAAGGGAAGGTTGAGACTCACAGCCTGAGATAGCACAACTCCTCTCAAAAAAGTTAAAATGTGAGACAGGTGTGGTGGTGCAGGTCTGCAATCCCAGCACTCAGGAGGCATGAGTTCACAAGCAGTGTGGGCTCCACAGTAAGTTCAAGGCCAACCTGATCTACATAGTTAGACCTTGTATCAATAAAAGAAAAGAAAACAAAAAGCTCAATGGAGGCTGAATCCTTCAAATGTTAATTCCATGTGTAAACACATTTTTTCTGATTCTAGCTTGCCACACATTGCTAAAGCAACAACAGAACAGAAGCACTGGTTCTTTTGCTGGAGCACTGCAAGGGTATTTGTGCACTGTCTCTAAAGCAGAGCTCATAGAGGGAGCCTACAAGATCAACCCCACTGGGGCACATGAGTATCTAATGAATGGCTTTGATAGACCATAGATAATATCTTTTCATTTATGGCATTGAGTCCTTCTTTAACTGCATGTAAGCAGTATTTTGAAATGTTTTTTTTTCAATACCAGGAATCGAACTCAGGATATTTTGCTTGCCAGATGGTACAGTGCCGCTGAGCTACATCCTCAGCTAGCATTTTAAAATTTGAATTTGGTTTCATAGAAAAAAACAACTGAACATCAAATATGAGATAATCATCAAATATGAATAATAATTAAAATGTTAATAGAAAAAAGTTTTATTGGAACAAGTCTGTGAACAATAAAAGGAAAGGCTGGCAAATTATCTTATAACTCAGTGTCACCAAGTGGTCACCTTGCTCTCAGATATAGGAAATTCTAGGGTAGTGAGTGGAAGATGAATAAAATGTATTATGTGCATTGAAAACCAATATATCACAGAGTATTCAGGCACAAAAGGAAAATAACAGAAGGCCAGGCATGGTGGCACATGCCTGTAATCCCAGCACTTGGGAGGCTGAGGCAGGAGGGTCAATGGGAGTTCAAGACCAGCGTGGGCTACATAGAAAATTCCAGGTCAGTCTCAACTACATAGTGAGACCCTGTCTCAAAAAACCAAACAAACAAACAAACAAAAAAGGAAAATATCAGAGCTGGGCATAGTGGTGTACACCAGCACTCGGGAGGCTGTGGCAGGAGGATTGCCAAGGCCAGCCTGGATTACACAGTGAATTAAAGGCCACCCTGAATGACATAGTGAGACCCTGCCTAAAAAAAACAAGAGAAATAAAAAAATTTTTAAATAGAAAATTTCAGCCAAGTGTGGTGTAACATGCCTGTAATCCCAGCATGTGGGAGGCTGACACAGGAAGATTGCCATTATTTTGAGTCCAGCCTTAGCTACATAGTAAGTTTGAGACCAGTAAGAAATACAAAGTGAGATCCTTTCTCAAATGCCCCACAAAAAAAGGAAAACTTCCATTCAATACAATCTAAGCAAGAAGCAAGAAGCTTCCATAATGTACATGAAAGACATTCAAATTCCACCTTTCGTGAGAATATATCATTAGCAGAGAAAATGACAAATGGATCTCAGGAACAGAAGATAGTCTTCAGTGGGCCCACAAGTATGTGGGATATTGATTCTTGATAGAGCTGGTGTTAAACAACTCTGGAAGAAATCATAATCTGTTTCATTTACATTCATGGAGAAACAGGTATATATTTGGAAACCTGGGTTGTACAGTCTTCTACATGCAATAATTAAGTTACATATTAAAATGGGAAAGGTGACCTCGAATGCCTTGAGAATCCACAGTGAAATAACTTTTTAAATGTGAAAAGCAAGTTTTCCTCAGAAGCAAATCAAGTAACCATCAGAAGTACAAGGATAAGATGAAATACATGAACACAAATAAGACAAGAAAACACTGGCTATGTACACAGAATAAAGGTTTTGTATAGGGAGGAAAGATCAATGAACACATATCTAAAACAATGATTACAACATACCTAACTCAAGAGAAAACAATGAATAAATAACAAGAATCAAACTTTTTTGAAAAAATTACTAAAGAAAATGGAATTGTGGAAGAACACAATACAGATGTAGACTTATGCAAGAATGGAGAATCAATTTATATATTCTTATTTCCTTTACTTTAGTGATTACCAAAACATACAGACCAGTAAGTTCTTTCCAATGTCCACAGGATACACTGTGCTATTTTTCCTGGAAATAGCTGTGATTCTTTTCAAATAAACTTGAAATACCCTGAATCATATAACCAATGGGACAGATGAGAAAGCATTTGGCTCTTGATCACATACCAGCACATATGAACAATAGCAAGAGGAAAAAAAAAAAACCCTCTGAAAATAGTTCTATTTGCGATTTCTATAATACTGATGTACTGAAATTCCAAGGAGGGAAACTAAAAGTACATAGTTCAGAGACAGGAAAAGTCACCAAAGTGGGGTGGGGGGGAAGAAGGGGACAAAGGAGGGGAGAGGGGGAGAGGAAGCGGGGAGAAAGAATATCATCCAAGGGGCAAGAGAAGCTTGAATCAGCTAGGGTATCAATCACCTAGATGCTCCTATCCATTGCCCAAGGCCCAGTGAAGAAACTTTCTGAATATTTTCAGGATATTTACACTATTAGTGTTGTCTCCTCAGTAATTTTGAAAATAAAATTTATTGCAAAATATTTAAACTCTAAATTACCATTAAGAAAGTACACCTTAATTTATATCTGCCTGCATTCATATATGAAAAGAAGAGACATCCTTCATACCCTGGGGGCAGCAATAAGCAAAGCAGCACAAGTGGAAAAAGGAGACCCCCAGCAAGCAGTGGTCAAACTGCATTGCCCACCAGGAGGACAGGTGAGACTATCAGAGAAAGAAAGAACAGACATCAGAGTTGATCAATGTCTGTACATCTGGGTTATGGGCCCAATGCTGTGCCTACCTGGACAGGAGTGGTTGTTATATTGACATTGATGAGGATAGATTATATAGAAAGCTATGCAAAAAGACACACTAGTCTATCAAAAATTCAACAAAATCTGTAGAACTATATTAATTTGACATTATTAAATTTGTACCTCAAAATAATGAATACAGTGCTCAGGTAGATATGAAAGGCAGTTCTCTAAAAACAGTCCCTGATACCTATCCTATAAATACAGCATCAAATTACATGAGGCAAAGCATGAATGTGAAGAGAAATATCACTGATTCACAGTAAAAACCTGTAACAGAACAGTTAAAATCAGTAACATCACCCTTCATGGGGACTGACTGGATACTGCATAATACTTTAACACCTACAAGGTACAAAGTCTTCTCAAAATCACAAGAAATATTTGCCAAATATACTATGTCAGAGCAATAACAGAAAACTTAATTTCTAGGAGGAGAGTAATTAAAATATGTTGGGACATGTACCAACACTCTACAATGAATATAATCATTATGTAGAGTAAACATATACTAATAAAAGTAAAAACCAGGAAAAATTTAAAGAGTTTAAAGTAATGGAAATTGTGCAAAACAGGCTCTCACATCTATTGAAATGAAATCTGACATCAACAGCAGAAAAATGAGTTTCTTGGCACTGAGACACAATACCCAATACCCACAGCTTAAAGGAAAGGTTCACTGTTTAGAAGTTTCAGTCCACAGTTGTCTGGTTCTAAGGCAGGGTGGCTTGGCACAGGGACACAGCATGCAGGAAACTTGCACTTGGCACGGCATTGGGAAGCAGAAGCCATCAAGGGAGGAGTGATACATATATACACCTTTCTAGGGCACAGTGACCCACCTCTTCTCACCAGGCTTTACCTCTCACTTCATACTCAGCTGGAAACCCATCAGGGATCTCATCCAGTCACACACCCATGATCCGGTCACCTCCCAAAAGCTCCACTTAGGAGTCTGCAATGCTTTGGGAGAACATTTAGATTTAAACCATAAGGATAGACCAGTAAAAACTCCAAGAAACTCATAGTCACAAGGGCTACTGTGCATAATGTACCAAAGTCATGAAAAGGTGCACATAACAGGCTTACCTGAACAATGAGGGATTTAGTTAGAAGCTGAAGAAAACACTGTGATTACAGATGCACACCACTATTCCTGCCTAAGCAGTAATATATAAAGAGATGCAAACATGTAAAAAAAAAAAAAAAAAGATTTCATGAATCTTAGCCTGTAGATAAATAAATTCTTAGAACTATATTAATTTTCCAATCAGATACTAGAAGAGGATGGATGCTGGAAAATCAAAGAAACTATCAAATATTGAAGTGTTGATCAAAAATTTCCCAACAGTGTTTACAAGTGATTCCTTGAAACTTTTAGTATACTGCTCAAGATGAAATTTTGCTCAGTATGAAACATATATGTTTGAATTCGCCATGATGACAGTATTTATTATATATTACAAGCATATATCAATGAAAACATTATGGTAAAAGTAAGATATACTCAGCTAGGCATGGTCTCACATGTATGTAATCCAAGAAAAAAACTTAAGACATTGCTGCAATATATGTTATCAGATTTATGCAATATTTACCTCGAACCAGATAGGCATGTACAAGGAAAGAGAATTATAGACACAACATGGCTAGGCATGCAGATTTTCAATACAGCATAAATCATTACCTGTAGGGAGTCACTCTACATAATTTTTGAGGAAAAGTCTTTCCAAAATTAAAGTATGACTGAGGTGCACAAGCTTCACGTAGAGGTCCACCCATAGCATTCCTAAGTGCAGATCCTGGGGAGTAGTGGTGTGGTCTAGACCTGAGCAGCTGCAGGCAGATCCCAGCTCTAGGGATCCTCCCCGACTCGAGGCTCAGGCACACCCACCCAGCAAAAGGCCAACCTGGAAAAGAGCTGCAAAGGCACACAAGCTTTACTCAGAGGCTTGCCCCTATACTCTCTCTGGTGGAGACCCTAGCCAGAAGCCTTCTCAGACAACAGGAACTGCAAAGCACAGCACCCAGCCAAAAGCCCTCACAGACAACAGGTGAAATGAGAAGACACAGAAACAA